TAAGACAACTAGGTTGGTAAGAAAGAAAATAAATAAACTACTTCCTATACTAACCAAAATAAAAAATGTTTTACACTATGGTAGGAGAAGACACAATGACAGGTGATCAGTCCATGCGCTACATGACAGCTGACGATATGAAATTTTTGGGTGATGATTCTCTTACTATTGATGTAACAAAAGATGAGAAGCCAGCTGAAAGTATGGTGTTTAGCAAACACGCTGGAGGTGAGTCAATTTAATAAATCAGTCGTGTGCTTCAGATATTTCATTGCTTTGTGTGCAGTATCAGAAACTGGTATGTAGGAACATTCAGGCTACTACCGAACATTTTAGTCCTATAGAATAGGAAGAACAATTTTTCACATTAATATAATTATTTTCCATTAACAGGTTTTTCTGTTAATAAAAATAATGTGGAATTTTCAATGATGTAATATGTTGCTTTAAATGTGTTGATATGATATGTTTAGCACTATCCAAGTACTTGAGAATACACATAAAGTAATTTATCTCTTCTGTATTTTCCTCCTGATTGAGAAAAGTCAAATGCATGGCTGTTGATAATCTATATTGAAACTTGTATTGTAAATATAAATGATTAAAAGGATACTAAAAGTGCTTTGCTTTCCACCATTGTTAATGATTACATGCATATTTACTATTTGGGTTTTTCAGCACCTTTGACTGTACAAGAGGAGCACTTATCACCTCAGTATGTTAATCCAAATACAGAAGCATTCTTTGTGGGGAATTATGCTCCAGATAACATTGATATCTCTCGTGCACCAGTGCATTCTGGGTAAGGCCTTTTGGTTATGCTGCAGCTACTCTATGAGCATCTGGCAGAGCTGCTTATAGGCTTCTAGAAGATAAATGGTTTTGTTATGAGTCAGTATAGATGTTGCTAATTTGCATAAGTATTTATTTATTTTTTGCAACATAGTTTTATGATCATCATTGCTGCTTGGATTTTGTTTTATTTAGTGGCATGAAATTGCACTGAATAATGTAACTAATTGCAATGATATTGAGGTATGGCATGAAGTAACAAATGAAAAAGTACTTTTCACTATTTTCACATTACTATTAGTTTCATTTGTGATGTGGTTAAAACAAATATTTATGCAAGAGTGCATGCAATTCCCATAAGGTGTTTTTATAGTATTTTTCAGAGTTTATAATCATACCTAGTAAATGATGGCTATTAACACTATAATCCTTACTGCTAATGATACAATGATCCTAATGATACAATCATATATAAATGTATATAGTGAGAGAGAGAGAGAGAGAGAAAAAGTGAAACTATTACCCTTGTTTGTTTTGATTCAAAACACACCAGAACTGTTTTATGTGCTACTGATGACTATCATAAGAGAAAGCAGTAGACACTTATTCAGTCATATATGCCAATCTATCTGTGTCCACTACAACTTACTGTCATTTAATGAATACTGTTTGCACATTTATAGCCATCTGAGTGTATAGTATATGACCTATTCAAGATTCTAACACTGCATTGTAAATGTAGAAACTGAATAGCGGACTTGGCCAACTATTTTCTGATTCTGATTGATACAAGTTAAGATATTTTGAAAATCTGTTCTATAGTATGAATCCTAAATTATGAAATTAAGGCTCTTAAAAATATACGAGTTCATTTAAAAAAATAACTGTTCAGCTTTTCTACATCTCCAGTATTAGAATTTATAATTTTCATTTCAGTTAATATTATTTGTATTGCTGAGCATGTTTGAACATTATAATCTAAAATTTATTATATTGATTGTGAGTTAGCTATTTTTCTGAAGTTTTTAGACTTTCAATTTCAAAAGTTTTTCACTAAGCTATATATCACATAACCATATGTAAGGTATAAGCTTCTATTTCTGGTGCTTACATCATTTATTATATAACACTTCATGTTGCTTTCTTACTTAAAAATGACCTCCCTTCAATATACAGTTTTTTTATTGTAAATTTCTTCATCGAACAAGATGACTGCATTAATTCTGAGCTGATTAAGAAAAAATTGGGAAGTGTCAGAACTTTAAGTATATATATATATATGACTGTGGGCCAAGGATTCTCCTACAGTAGGTGTCTGTGACTTGTTGGCGATAAATTCGAACAATAAGCAGACAGCACGCACTTCACTTGTTTTAAAATAATATATTCAAAACAAGTTAAATGTATGTATAAAAATTCTTTACATTACGGGGATCATAGTTTTATTTTAAACACTATACAGTTCTTTACTTCTTGTCACTTAGGCTAATTCAATTGCTTTAGAATCCAGTTGACAAAGCAAACTATTTTTCTCTACTTTTGTTACAGTAGTATCAGTGAATAATTCACTTACGCTGTTACCACAGTTGTATCCCGGACTTCCAATAATTGTCTTCTTTTTGTCAAAGTTTACACAGGCAGGTTCAATTAATTTAGAACATCCTTTGACAAGACAAATTATTTTCTTTATCTCTATAAAACTGTTAAAATATCTCACTTTAAAATATCAACCATTTAGGCTATTCATTCCCTAACTTTACATTTTCTAACTTTTCTCTGACTGAACTTCTATTTAACTTGACTTTACTTTTACTCTGCTCCTACTCGTTTGGTCGCTGCTATTTACATGTTTATTACAGAGGCCTCCTGAATTTTCTGTAGCCTCAACGCCAAGGAATTGTAAACACAGCATACGACTCTTACTGAGTTACGTAACTAAACTTGTTATAACTATCGCCTTTAAAATAATTGTTTTTAACTCTCTTGTTATGAAGAACTCAACAATCATTAAATATTAACTCACAAAATAAATTAAATAGTAATGCCTACACTACACAGTCTTGTATATCTAACAGGAAGTTTAAAGAATGATAAGGCTCCTGGGTCAGATAATATTTCCCCAAACGTTTTGAAGGAGGTTGAAGTTTGTATATGAGAGCCACTTACTACTACTTTTTGTCAGTCCTTGAATATTTGGCAGGTACCAGAGGATTGGAAGTTAACTAATGTAACTCTTCTTTTCAAGGGAGGTGATAAAAAACTGTCCCAGTAATTATAGACCCATTAGTTTTATATCAATTGTAGGAAAACTTTTGGAAAGTCTGATAAACGATGCTTTGCATTTAACAAAATTTTGAATTTTATTGGATAGTCAACATGGTTTCATTAAGCAAAAATCTTGCCTCACAAATCTTTTGACATTCT